AGAAATACAACAGGCAACACACGTGATAATCAATGTAATGTAATGACTCTTATTCTGTGATCCAGCAGTTTGTATGACTCCACAGTCCATGGAAGTACACAATCCTCTCTAAAGGCAGTGAAAGCAGGTGAGCAGAGCATCATTTACCCTGTCCAACAGTTTTTATGCACACAGAATATACATCAAATTCAATGGGAGCATTGTGCAGAAGGACTGCAAGGCTGGGATCTTGCTTGCAAACTGCATATTGGATGTAGTGAGGAGGGCAGTTCCTCCCATATAGCGTTAAAGAAAGTGTCATGGTTTAACGCTTCTGCTGCTACTGTTTAATGCCTACTCCACAAGCTGCCAACAAGCAGCTTTGGTTGGTTGTAGGGTGACCAGATGTCCCGATTTTATAGGGACAGTCCTGATTTTTGGGTCTTTTTCTTATATAGGCTCCTATTATCCCACACCCCGTCCCAATTTTTCCACACTTGCTGTCTGGTCACCCAGGTTGGTTGGCTCAACCCCTAATCAAAAAGTAGTATCTGACAGTACTTTCTTCTCCCTCCTGTAAATGTACATGAGCTGTGAAGACCTTATCAGATATTAATGTGTGTAATTCAGGCTACGGGGGGGGGGGGGGAGTAGAGAGATACTAGCTGACACTATGAGCTGCTTGAGAGATGAGAAAATCTGACCTGAAATTAATCTATCATCAGGCTACTCTTCAAGTGCATTAAAACATGTATTCTCTACCTGTTATGCGGCCTGATTTTCAGGTAATCTGGGGGTGCAGTCAGGTAGCTAGACACCTAATTACCAGCATTTGGGTGTACTGTTATCTGTGGGTGAAAAAAAACACTGGAGGCTGACTACTGGAAGTAAGTGAGCTTTTCCCACTGGTGCTGGGAGATCTGCTGTCACTTACAGAGCTGAGATCCTAGCAGCTCATCTTCTTTCTACCCTTCAGGAAAGCAGAGGGGAAATCAGGTGCTCACATACAATGGTGATGAGTAAGGATATGATTTGGTCACGGATTCCATGACTTTAACAGACCTCTGTGACTCCTGCTTCAGCCCCCCCAGGGGCCGGCGGAGCTCGAGCAGCCAGCTTCTCTTCCCTTCCCCCCACCCCCACCCCACCCCGCCCTGATGGGTTTTGGTTTCAGCCTTGCACTGCGGGGCTCCGGCTTCCATGACTTATGGTTTATTGTCTGTGTCCTGCCCGTGAATTTTAATAAAAATCCCTGTGCCAAAATCTTAACCTTAATGATGAGCATGTTATAAGAACCTACACAGAACAGAAAATCTTAATAGAGCCTGTCCTAATTACTCAGTGCTCCTTGCTCCATTTGATACCAAAGTGATAGGTACTTTACAAACATGAAAGGTAGATTTGATAGCTGTATTAGGAAGAGCGAGAATTTGCTCTGCCTGAGACTCGGGAAAAGTGAGTGGACAGAATCAGATATATGCACCTTGGGAAAGCCATCTGTAGGGCCACACTGGGCTGCCTTCAGTTCATAAACAGAGGTTTGAGTGAAGAATTGCTGTAGTGCCAGCACTGTTGCTTCAAAGACAAACTATATTAGCATATATACCTATCAAATTGGTAGTCATCTAGGATGCATAACTTGGCAATTTGGAACTTGGCAGCAACAGCCAAGATACTACTCAGATCCTCCTGCTCTAAAAGGACAGGTCCCCACCACTTCAGCAAGATGATGCTCCATTAGCTGTTAGCAGTATAGGGCCTAGGGCATCTAGTTGAGCAGTTCTGATAGTCTCCAGTAGATGCCAGTGATACACACACGGTTTGTTTCAATAGTTTAGACATGCTTTTCCTCCCACCCTCAGATTTAATTATTCTCAACATTTTCTTAATTTAATGGTGAAAACTGAAAGTTAAAGAGCCTATGTGCAGTACAGCAAAGCAGCTTAACACAATAGTATACCCTACAAATGTGAAGCAGTAGTGGCATTGCCAACACAAGCTGTACTTCTGCACAAAGCATGTTTATTAGCCATGACACACAATAAAAGCATTTTCAAAGAGCCAGCGAAGAAGACAGCTGCTGCAGCTCCCCTAATTACCTTTCCCCAGACATCAAGAGTAATTTACAAGTTGGATAATATTGCTGGAACGAAGCACGATCTAGAGCTGCACGCTAGCTCTCCTCCTCAGTTTTAAAGACCATGTATAATAGTAGAAATACAACCATTCAGCCCACTCCTGTGAGTCAGGTTGTCTCCTGGCAGATTTTTTATTGCACATTCTCCTTTTGTTACTGGAAAACATTGAGTTTATTTTACCGAGTAATCAGGCAATCACCATGTCTTGTTACTGGCATAAGCCAGCAGGACTTGATATAATAATAATCACTCTCTCTAATCTATTACATTAAACAAAGATAGTTTAAGATGCTTGGTACAAATTATGCTTCTTAATGCACATTCTGGGGCACGAAGGTAAAAATCAACAAGTAGAACAGAGGGAATGTTAGCTTCACGTATATTCCGATTAAATTCTAAATTAAACAATCACCAGTGCATTTAACTATTCAGAATACATTTGTTCAGCTATGGGCCTGCTGTTTTGCTGCTAACCACAACCTAAGAAAATGTATAGGAAGTCTGACAAATTGAGATGTCACTGGCAATCAATCTTAATTACACCAGGAGGAAATATTTCAGCCAATTGTAGCCCAGAAAGATCTACGCTCTCCCTGACAAATGGCACTGAAATCCCTGGTGAGGCAAGAGACCACTTTTTTTTTTTTTGGTAAAGAGACAATTAACATGTGTACAGACGCTTCCCGATTTATGCAAGCGTTCCTTTCCGGAACGCCTTGCATAACTCAAATTTTGCAGAAGTCGGAAATGTATCTCTTACCATTACCCCCCAAAAAAACAAAAAAACCCACACCACAAAACAACACACCCATAAGTCAGGTCTTGTGTAATCCGGGGAGCGTCTGTATAACTAATATGCACATGCACAGGGCCGGCTCTAGGCACCAGCAAAGCAAGCAGTTGCTGGGGGCGGCAAATTTGCAGGGGCGCAAGAATCCAGCATGGGAGCTGAGAACCAACGGGGGGGCCTGGGAGCTGTAGTTCGTTGGTTAGCTCCCTGCCTATAGAGCCAGCCCTGGAGCAGGGAAAGAACTACATTTCCCAGCATTCCCTTGGCCGCAATTAACAGAAAAGGGAGGGGGAAGGAGTGTGGAACTGAAACCTCATGCTGCAGCTTGCTGTGAATGGTAGGGATAGAGCCAGCTCTAGGTTTTTTGCCGCCACCCCCCCACCCCAGCCCTGGGCTCCCCCCACACCCCCTGCCGCCCCAGCCCTGGACGCTTCCCCGCCCCGCACCCCCTGCCGCCCCAGCCCTGGGCTCTCCCCCCACCCGCATCCCCTGCCGCCCCAGCCCTGAGCTCTCCCCCAAAGAAAGAATTGGGTGGACTACATGGACAGTGCACCTCTCTATCTGAAGCCTAGCAAGGGAGATCCCACTAGAATTTAAAATGAAAAGTAAGGGAGGAGAGGCTCTACTAGGACCTGGGCAGCTTTAGATACAGTACCAGGCATGTAGGAGGATTTACACTTCTGAGCCATGGAAGCAGAAACTGACTTTTCTTTTCCAGATTTAGCGAATATTCAGAAAGGGAATCTAGCACCTGCCTTCCAGATTTGAACACCCTCAAAATTCAGGAGTGCTCAAGCTCAATTTGGGCAGCTGTTACTTCATTTCTCCCAAATCAAATATACTGATCCACTGTAACTTGCTGTAGAAAAAGTAGAATAAATTGAGCAAGAAATGCTTCCCAGTGGTTATTAGGACTGGAATTGCTATTTTCAACAGCCACTGGGTTTTTTTTGTTTTAGTTTTATTTGTTTAAAAGGAAGACAGTAATATTGCATTGGCAAATTCCCCATAGAAACAAAGAATGGAACAAAAGAATAAAGGCACCTCAACTTTTCCTCATTTATGTAGGACAGTCTTATAATATGCATCCAGATATCCTTCAATCACACAAGTTGAAAATTGTTCCACTTTACTGCAGTTCAGTAACCATATGGGAACCAATCCTGTCTGTGTTCTGTGCACATCCAAAATTCCTGTTGAATGACCCGCTCTGGGACCGAGTTACCAGTGACCCAGGGCTGGGGTGGCAGGAGGGTGCAGTGGGGGGGGGGGCAGTCAGAAATTTTTTTGCTTGGGGCAGCAAAAAGCTTAGAGCCGGCCCTGCACACGCACACAATTAAGGGACCAAAAGTGAAAATCTACGGAAGGCTCTCTGCACAGTCTAAGCACAGTAGTGGAGGGAACGGGGAAAGAAGGGAATAGGTATGCGAGAAAGATTGTGCAGATGGCTTTGAACCTTGGAGTGAGTGAGCTCCTTGTGGCTCTGCATAGGCATACTATTATCTGGAACTAGGGTACAATGGGTAAAATTCACCCCATACAGGGAGCCTGCACTAGGCCTTTGTGTGACACACAACCACTGAACGTGGTGGTCTGTCCCGCTCTAGTGGTGGCTGAGCCATCTACAGAGGCTAATCAACTTAGATACGATTGTGCCATGGTAAAATTATGCATAATTCATGACAACAAATAGATACACAATTTTTTGTGGTCATGACCACAGCCTGAAATGTAACAACTGAATGTTACCATAAATATGCATTTATTGACACAAACAGTGTAATGATTCTACTAAACAAAATATAGGGCTTGTCTGAAGGAACATTTAGTTTGTCACAAGCTGGGGCGTGAATCTACCCTGCAGTAGCCTGCCGTGGACCAGCTGTTCCTGTGCATCATGCTGAAGGTGATTTAGTCCTCTTTGAAACGGGAGTAGATCCAAGTGCATTAACAGTTTTTAAATGCACCTTGGAGTATGGTGTGACATACGTACCACTTAAGTGCAGAGGCCTTGTACCACAATACAATGTTCTTTTGATAATGTAGTATCAAAACCAGCAAAAGCAATATTCTGGTTTGGAAAGGGGACTTACCCATGTTTCTCTTGACTTGGGGCCAACAGGATTTCACTGCTACTTTCGTCAGCAGGGAGAAGCCGAGCAATATAGTCCCCGCTTTGTTGGAGATGCCTGTACACAGACACCTGCATAGTGCATTGCTCACTACTGCTCCTCAGCCAGGGGCTCAAGATGATGGGGCTCATGCTTTCTGATGTATTGAGGAACAGGAATGAACCTAGGAAGAAAAAGGGAACAAGAGTTTTTAAAACACAGTGCTTTTCAGACCCCCAGATAGAGGAAGCAGTTTGTAAAATGCCGTGGACTGAGAATCTGTACTGAATTGAAGCAATGATTTGACATTTAAAATGTATGCAGAGTGGACAAAGCCATAGAAAATTTTGCAGGGAAAACACTACATCTACAGGTGACTGAAGTAGATTAGGAAAACTCAAATGTTTGATAAATCCTAATAGAGAGATTCGCTTGGGGACTTCACCCCTTCAAACGTCTCATGTGTGATTTAGATCCAAAGTTCATGGCTCTGATCTCTCTGGAATAAGGTCCCAGCTTGACAGGTTGGGTTATATTAGAGCTCTGTTAGTGGCCCCATTTGTATTCACATCCTAAACAAAGCTTACAGTGATTATGTTTCCTGTATAAATAGAAAGCACAAATTCATCAGCTGTGCTCTCTTATAAACCATACAGTATATTCAAAGCTATTTGTGTCAGGATAAATGCTTGATATTTTTATTGCTTCAGCCATTTATTCTGACATATTAATTTTATATGCACTTAATCCACATGAAAGGTTTGATTATTATCTGGTACATCGACTACCTTCATTTAATCCTATTTCAATAACATCTCAGACTTATCCAGGGGTTCAGAGCTAATCAACTCTCCGCAGATTAAAGCTCACCTTGAGTAAGCAAAATTACCCTCTTTTGGCAGATACCAATTTACCAAATATTCCATAGAACAAGCACTAGTCAAATAGAAAAGGGAGCCAGTCTTTGATACAGAATATTTTCTGGTTTACCATATGCACTCATTACCCCGTGAGATAACATGGCAATACTACTTTGCACTAGAGACGACCTGTACCTCCTGATAGTGGTGGGGCAGAGCAAGGGCAGCGGCTTCAGCAGATGTAACTGAACATGCTCAGTCCATGTGAGCATACTCAGTACAAGCCAAGCAGCAAATATGGGGGGGGGGAGGCACGTGACCTCACGTCTCCCCCCTGCCCCCTGCATTGCCTCTGCTTTGCATTCCCATAAGGCTTTACATCACAGACATCAAAAAGCTTTCTAAAGTAGGCATTAATGTTCACAATAAGTCTTCAAGTTCTGTATTCCCATTTAACAGATGGAAGAAACTGAGGCACAAAGAGGCTGAAGTCCTTTCAAAAGTGCTCACTAATGTTAGGTGCTTTGCTTTCTCAGATGCCCAGTGTGAGACAAGGGCATGATTTTCCAAATGCTAACCACCCATAATAAAGGGAAGTACGTCTGAAAATCAGATCCTAAATATCTCAAGTTAGGCACCTAATATCAGTGGGCACTTCTGAAAATTTTCAACTGAACAACTTGCCTAAGGGGACACAGTACATCAATGGAAGAGTTGGGAATAGAACCCAGGTGTCCTGACTCCCAGTTCATTGCTCTGACAACTAGACAACACCGTCTCCAGAGGCATGTTAGCTAGCATATACTTGACATCAATTTTAGCTAACAAATATTTGTCCTGAAAGCAGCATTGGGCAGTAAAATGTCAGAAATAGTCCCCTCATGACAGAAGATTCCATGGGCGGCAAGTAGAGAGAAAGAGTGAATCCATGAATTACTATTAGTTCCTTTAGTGTCAGATAAGGAGGTGCAAGTCTCCTCACTACCTGGACCAAATACATTTCCTAAAGTTTAAGGGAGTTTATTTATTTGGCTGATCAGTAAAGAGATGGTAACTGTATACATCACCCTTGTGCTTTCCCATCTCTCTCTGTGGTTGAGAACAACAAGAATTACAGCATTAAATCTCATAGCTTTATTTTTCCACCCCCACAAGAACACTGGGATCACAGTGACATGAAAGAGAGCAGAGATTTCTACTCATGGCAGAAAGACACTAAACCCTGCAATAATTGCTGATAACTGAGGGGGGCCATTGGCTCATCTTATTGCCTTGTGATAGGGAGTAGGATTTTAAAGCTATCACAAATTAGAAGGCAGTTTTGGTTCCTTCACTGCTTACTTGCAGTAGGTATAGGAAAAGTGCTTCCAAGCAAGCATCACTTTTGTGCCCAGGCTCAAGGCTAGACTTAGAAAGACAATGAGACTCTCAAATAGGAAAAGGTATCTACCTCAGAGCAACCAGTAAGTGTTAGACAGACAGTCACTACTCTCCTTCGTTTGGGCTATTAACAACAGGGTTTTCTCCCCCAAAGCACTTGCTCATTGTTTCACCTATGCTCAATTCTACCTATGAACTGAAGTGTGCAGGTCTGTCCACATGAAGGTTACAGAACCGTAGCGATGGAGCAGTCCAGACGGTGCTATGTGGCAGCTGCACTGAATGATCCCACGCTGCACTGTTCAAAGTGAGGGGTAGAGAGTCATGCTGGAGGAACTCCCCATCCTCCCCAAAGCAGTGCTCTTGTGACCAGTACATAAACACACTAGGGAAAGCCTCAATGTGCTTTTGTGGAGGCTACCCAACAAACAGAGAACAGGAGCTGTAATGTACCATTTTTAGAGGATGTAAACATACCTTGGTTTCTAAAAGCACAATTCCCTCAAGGGAAACATCACTGTCTACTGCACTTACCTTAGTGCTGCACTTACTGCTATTCTACTCCATAAACACCCAGGGAAGCACTCTCAGAATTCTGTTTGGCTGTGGTGCTTTCGGAATTTCCAGAAGGTGAGAAGTGATGGATTTGCTGTGAACACACACAGCAGATTCTGGAAGCAAAACGTGTATCTCAAAGATCCCTGATAACAGACTGTACATAAAATTTCTCCATTTCAGAACAAAACATTGGTCCATCAGCTCCTACTTCCTGCGGTGACTAATACCCGATGTCTCAGAGGAAGACCCCATCTTTCCATTATACATCTAGGCATTTAAGTCTACCCCTTACTACGGGTATGTCTACACTAGAAACACAACAGTAGCATAGACACTTACTACTAAGAAAAAAGGTTCTTCCATCACTTTAGTAAATCCAGTTCTCTGAGAGGCACTAGCTAGGTCAACTGAAGAATTTTTCCATAGACTTAGCAGAGTCTACACTGGGGCTTAGGTCGACTTAATTACATCACACAGGGAGTGAAATTTCACAGCCCTAAGCAATGCAGTCAAGTCAACCTAACTCTGTAGTGTATACCAGCCCATAGACTGCACAATTTTATTAACATTATGCAGATCCTCTTCAAAGCCACATTAATACACATTAGGGATGGGTCCAAAACTTCAGACCTGTACGATTCCAGGTAAATTCAGTAAATCAGTAGGAATGTGTCTAAAATCCTTATTAGGTTATGGATTGTAACTTTTCTAAGGAGCCATTATATAGCAGTGATGTTTGCCTATTCATTGGGAATGAGAGGGAAATATACTGTTTTCCACCTGGTGGGTTCCCAGGCAAAACTGGGTCCTAATCTGTTTATCAGTTTTCAGTATTCCTCCAGCAAGAGGAAGTCCATGTGGCAAGCTGCATCTCAGATCATCGTGTAGGTCTGTAGGGTTGTAAGGTTTCATCAGTAATTTTCTTGGACTGCTATTTTCCTTTAGTAGCTTACAGCTCTAATGAGGCTCTCGGGGATCTTGCAGGGTGAATAACTAAGAAAGAGCACTGCAGCTTCAAACAAACTTCTACTGATAGTTGGGTACCTAGGGAATATAAACTGAGATGAAAGAGCCCTTCATAGAACAAGTTGTCAGTATCATGTTCTACCACTTGTAGGATTTTTAAAAATTAATAAAGCACTGGTATGTTGCAGTAACCCATATTTAATACTCAGGGGTGAGGTGAAGAGTTTGCAACTGGGGAAGCTGATTAAAACACTAATGCTTCATCTTAGGATATGGTATACTCACTAGTGAGACATTGAAGAAGCCTGCTGTCACCACTTAAACTAGAGTGGACACTAGTTATCATGCCAACTGAGTGCTGGGATTGAATAGATGTAATCCCCTAAATAAATATAACCAATACAGTGTCTCAAATCCAGAGCCACTTAGCTCTGCATGACTCTCACTGTGCTGCTCAGTCACTAGGATCACTCAGAACTACATGGGGGCAGTTCAACAGAAAGTCTCCTGCACCAAGAGAATAAGCCACTACCACTCGAGCTAACAGAAAATCTCCTCTAGCTGTTGCAGCTTAAGGGTTATGACACTTGGTTGAGCCATTCTAATTCTATCCAGCAGAGGGCAGTAGAATCATAGAATATCAGGGTTGGAAGGGACCTCAGGAGGTCATCTAGTCCAACCCCCTGCTCAAAGCAGGACCAATTCCCAACTAAATCATCCCAGCCAGGGCTTTGTCAAGCCGGGCCTTAAAAACCTCCAAGGAAGGAGATTCCACCACCTCCCTAGGTAAAGCATTCCAGTGCTTCACCACCCTCCTAGTGAAATAGTGTTTCCTAATATCCAACCTAGACCTCCCCCACTGCAACTTGAGACCATTGCTCCTTGTTCTGTCATCTGCCACCATTGAGAACAGCCAAGTTCCATCCTCTTTGGAACCCCCTTTCAGGTAGTTGTAGGCTGCTATCAAATCCCCCTTCATTCTTCTCTTCTGGAGACTAAACAATCCCAGTTCCCTCAGCCTCTCCTCATAAGTCATGTGCTCCAGACCCCTAATCATTTTTGTTGCCCTCTGCTGGACTCTTTCCAATATTTCCACATCCTTCTTGTAGTGTTGGGCCCAAAACTGGACACAGTACTCCAGATGAGGCCTCACCAATGTTGTATAAAGGGGAATGATCACGTCCCTCGATCTGCTGGCAATGCCCCTACTTATACAGCCCAAAATGCCATTAGCCTTCTTGGCAACAAGAGCACGCTGTTGACTCATATCCAGCTTCTCGTCCACTGTGACCCCTAGGTCCTTTTCTGCAGAACTGCTACCTAGCCATTCGGTCCCTAGTCTGTAGCAGTGCATAGGATTCTTCCGTCCTAAGTGCAGGACTCTGCACTTGTCCTTGTTGAACCTCATCAGGTTACTTTT